AATAAACAAAACATCAACATCTTCTGCTGTCCAAAAATCTATTCCCACTCCATAGGAGCTGTGGTTTCAATGCTCTGTGATGGTGCATGGCCATCTGGCTCTGGTGTTTTGGTCATCACACACCTGGCACAACATTCCACATAGTCTGTCACAGTCCATTCCATATAACTCCAATAGAACCTTTGCTTCACCAGTGAGAAGGTCCTGTATTGACCCTAGTGACCTGCATCATCATGACACCCACACATAGCATCAATGACAATGGGATCCTGTACTGATACCTCTTTTTCTTAGTGAGTGGATCTTGAGAAACACAAAAGAGGATGCCATCCTTAAGCACCAACTTCTCCCACTGCTTCAGAAGTCTCAAAGAACCTACAGACTCCTCTCTCTTCGAGGTGGTTTGCATCGGCGCTCAACATAGAAAACCACCAGATCAGCATCTTTCCTTTGGTTGTCTCTGAGATCCTGTTGTGACAAAGAACTGCTCACACCTGTGAATTTACACTGGGTGTGGTTTTGCTTTACTCCGACCTCTGCAGTAAATACAAAACCATTATAATCAATGGAAGCATTGGCTCTGCACGGTGATCGCCAAAATTTGACTCAATCCTATTTTTGCTGAATGTCGGAGTTGATCTGGGGTCAATCCAAAGACCACAAAGCACCATCAGGAAAAGGAATATTTTCAAAATAATTCACCAAAGGCAGACTAATTGAGACTAATCTTAGCTAAATATGTGGGTGGATATATTTATACACAAATGCTGTCAAAATGTATCATTCTGCTTGGGAAGCAGAATGACAACGTGCAGAATGTAGCATAAGTATACACACATAATACACGTGGATTTTTTAAATCAAAAAATCTAAAAGTTAGTACTTTTAGGTTGGAACTTCAAATAAATTACAGAATGTCAGCAAGACATGAGATGCGAACCGGACGTCCCGCACACATATTTACCACAACCTGCCACTAGGGGGGACAAAACCGCACAAACAGAATGAGCCTTAATTACATGAAAAACAAGATTAAAATGGTCTCCCCAAATTGTAAGATCACATTTGATAACTTCTATAGAAAAATTTGAGCAAAACAAGTAAAACATTTTAAAATTTACAGTGCATTTTGACAAAATTCATTACCCAATAACCCTATATGGGCTCTTTGTTCAGACACTTGGATCAAAGTGGRTTCAGTCTGAGTCAGATAGAAACAGCAGAAATGATGCTCTCTTGGTTCAGTCACTCTGGTTCTGTACTCAGTGTTTTACTGCCAATCAGCAAACAAACTGCTCCCATAGAGGTTTTTTTTCTTTGTGTGTGTGTGTGTGTGTGTGTGTGTGTGTGTGTGTGTGTGTGTGTGTGTGTGTGTGTGTGTGT